AATGAATGGGATCCTCTCCAACGTGAGCATGGTTCAAGTCCCAGTTGCAGTGAAGAAGAATGCTTAGATCCTACCCATCACTTCATTTCTGAGAACACCCAGAGTCATTAAGCAGAAGAGAATACCTCGTGTGGGAAGGACTGGTGGCCATGCATGCTTGCTCGAGCCTCCCTCACTCACTTTCTCTTTTTTTAATAGTCTAGAAGAAAATATCTGCTGGCAGTAGAGATTTCTGAGCTGTGAGGTAATGACATACACATGCAGAGTCATCTTCTTGTTTCCGAAGCCTATTGCAGTTACAGATGTGCTGAGAAGTATGCAGTAATAGAGCTCAGCTCTGTGGTTTTAATTCAAGCAATTCAGAGCTCACCCCAGCTGAGCAGGGATCGAAGCAGGCCATGCTGGGCATTTCCATCAGCTCCTGCTTTTGCAGAACTTTTAACAACTACTTATTCTTCACTTTGCCAAATTGGTTTGAGTGTTGTGAAGTCCTTCAAGGGTCTGTTTCCATCTCAGATCTGTGTTGTCATCCAGCACTGTGCATCCCTCCTTGGAGCTACAGGATTATTTCTGCTGCAAACTGCTGTGCAATGGGCCCTGCCAAAAGGAAACTTCTTTGTTGTGCTTCTTCCTTATTACTTTCCCCATTTTTGGAGGAAATGTAAAAGAAAGGGCAAGGCTGATATGAAGTATCATTCTACCAAGGGCAGTGCAGGTAGCAGGCTTTGTGAGGACGGGCTTAGAGTTACACAAATGCTGATGGCCGCCAGGAAAATGAAGCCCTCTACAAAGTAACTATTTGGCCAGGTCAGCTCTTTGGCGCCAGTTGGAAGTCAAGCCTTTAATAACTGCTGCTCCAAGGGATTGACGGATTTCTGCAGGGGGCAATTGCAGGATCGATGACTGCACAGTCCTTGCAAAGCTGGGGAGAGGCAGCTTTGGCTCCTTCCAGAAATGCTGAGACTCCAGTGGGCCTCACATCTTGCAAGACACACATGATACATCTGTGTATAAGCCAAAAATTCTCACAGCCAAACCTACACCATGCTTTCTGCTGGGAAACATTGGCCATGGCAATAAGCTCTTGCTCTCCAGCCCTCTATTTCTGGATGTTTTCCCAGAAACCGGGGTTCTTCTTCCCTGGTCCCAGCGTGCACATTGCTCACCCAGGATCACAACCAAGGTTTATTTGGGTTTGTTTTTTGAGATCTGCAGAGGCCACAGTTGCAAGAAGTTGGAGATGCATTAGTGGGTGTCCAACGAACAGAAGGCATGTTAAATGCAGACGTCCAACTGATGGGTTGATGGTTGGACTTGATCTTAGATGATCTTTTCTAACTATAATGATTCTGTAATTCTATGACTGAGACAGCACCGGTGCACAGGGACACTTGCTATTTTTGATAGCTGCTTGCATTGATCTGCCAGAAGCTTTTGGTGCTCTGGATCATTATTTATGAAGCTCTGAGCTGCTGAATGTGAGCTCTAATACAGATGCCATCCCCTGGCTCTAGGCTTGCTTGTTTAAGAGAACTTCAGGATCCTGGCCCTAAGCAGCTCTCCCCAAGCTGCGGCACATCTGCCTGCACAGCTGGCAGCCCCGCTGCCTCCATCCCTACTTTGCCTACCCAGAGCTGCTGGTCCTCAGCCACGTCCTGAGACAGGGGGCTCACCAAAATGTTGGCTTTCCTGAGCCATCAGCAGGCCTTAATATTTCATGATGCTCTGACACCGAAGATGCAGCTGATCAGAAAGGCTGTTAAAATGCAGCACTTTATTAATGCTTCGCACTGTGCAATGCTGGTTACTCACCGCCGTGTTTGCCATAAAGATCCCATCAGTGATTCTCCAGGGCCCCGTGCATGGCAGAGAGCTGTGCCCACCTGGGCTTCCAGCTCCAGCACTGCTCCGCTGTAAGAAATGCCCAAAGAAACAAAACAGAAGGAAATTCTGCAAATGAGATCCCTGAAGATGGTAGGAAGAAATGGTTTCTCGATTACTGCATGAATCGCTGCAGCCTCTGCCCATTGCTCCATGTTGCACAGAACCTTTTTTTACCTCTTTCCTCCTGAATGCTGTAAAATCTGCAGCAGATACAACATGTATGAGGTTACCCAAATACAAGGATGACAGCAGGAGCATTGCTCATAGCTAGCAGAAGTGAAGTCACTGCAGGTCAAGTAAACAGGGCAAAGGAAACCAGTCCAGCACCCAGGACCGTGACGCCGGTGGTTCCACTGCTGCCTATCAGATTTGGCTTGGTCACCCAGAGGGAAGCTGAGCAGAAAAGCACTGATCGTGTTGTGCCATGCTCCACGTGAGTAAGTTTTTCCATGAGCAGAGCAGAGCCCACTCTCCTCTCCTGCTTGCCTGAGGAGTTTTGCAGATGAGCTGATGGGAATCAGCAAACAAGACAGACAAGTGTGTGGGATTGTTGTGGGACCACAATGAAGAGATGAGTCAGCCCCTAGCACCGATCACTGTGAGGTGACACAGGGCCCTCCTGGCCTTGCACCAATAGAAGCTATAATAGCAGGAGTGAAAAACCAACAGAAAGGAAGCCCAAACAGCTCGCCCACCTGGACCTTGCACATGCAGTCAGCTTCAAAGTTCTCTGTTGTAAGCGGTGAAATCAATGGTGGGCTCTGCACCTGGCACTTCTCCTCCCATGGGATGCTCAAGGTTTGGGTACTGCTGATTCCCACGTCCTTTAGTACTGCTCTTCCCAACATCTGTGGGCATCACTCATTCTTGTGCCCTTCTCCAAATCCTCAGGTTCAGCCCCATGTCTTCAAGTAGAACTCAGCCCCAAATCCTTGGGTTCATCCACGCTACTGCTCATCCCCATGTCCTGCGGCTCAGATTATCCCCACTCAAAGGAGGACCCGTTCCATTTTGGAACACGCTGACCACGAGGTGCAGGCAGTGGGATGGCTCCGCTGCTAACTCCAGAAGGAGCTGCTGCGCGGCTGCCACAACACCTCTGGCCCTCTGCCCCATCCTCTCCGCCGCCGCCACCCCATTAGCCCGTGAACCGCCGCCAAATGGCCCATCAATTTTTCATCAGGAATCAAACCTGATAAAACCCAGCCGTGCCGCCGGGCCGGGCTGCCGACCCCAGACCTCGAGGTGCGCTCGGAGACCCGCGGGGTTGGTTGCGGGGATGGCGGGCGGACGGGGCGCGCCGTGCGGGGCTCCGTGCGGGACCGCCGGGGGTTGCGCGGGGCCGGGATGCGGCGGGGCGGGGGCCGGGCCGGGGGCTGCGGGGCGCGCCTGGCTGCCGCGGGCGCGGTGGTTGGCGCGGAGGCTGGCGGCTCTGCTCGTGCTGCTGGCCCTGCTGGCCGCCGGCTGCCTGCTTCACCGCAGGGCTTGCCCCGCGCCCCGGCCCCGCCGGAACGGCCCTCCCCGGCCCCGCCAGCACGGCCCCGCGGCCCCGCAGGGTGAGCTGAGGGAAGAGCGGGGCGCGGAGCAGGGGCTGCCGCCGCTACCCAGCTACGAGAAGGTGAAGCATCTGCCCAGCTATGAGGAGGCGCAGCGCTGCCCCAGCCGCCAAACCCGGGACGGGAATGGGGAAGGCTGCGTGTGCGGCTGAGCACCCGCGTACGGGAGGGATGCAGCGGTCCCTGCAGTGCCGGCATCCCCGGGAGAGATGCTGGATGCGATGGGATGGGGGACAAAATGGGATACTGGACATGATGGGACACTGACCACAAAGGGATGCTGGGTGCTATGGGATGCTGCATTGGTAGTTCCCAGGAGGGATGCAATGCTGGACACTGAGGGCCCCAGGATGGTCAGGACTCAAGAAAAGCCCCCCCCTGCTGGGGACACGCCATTCGCTGGGTGCAACTGGAGGACATTGGAGTCTGCAGCACGACAGGCCTGCGGGACACCAGACTTCCCTACCGAGATGAGCAGCCCCGGAGCTGCTGCTTGCCTCCCTGCTGCGGGCTGGACAAGAAAAGGGCTGAGTTGCCCAGCTCTCTTTTGCAGTGGCTGCCCAGAGTGAGCAGGACGAGCAGAGAGCCTGCACAAAGGAAGGTGGCAGCCAGGGACAACGCGTATGTTGGAGGAAGCTGACTTGGGGACATCACCTCTTGCATGATGACATCATTAAGGTACAATGATGTGAAGGAAAGGGCTGTCTGCAGCTCAGACAGTGCCCAGATCACAATGTCATCAGCACAACACCGCGAGCTCAGCCTGCCAGAGCCATCATGCCACAAGGGTGGGAGCAGCAGGCAGGAGCAGCAGGATCTGCAGCCTATTCCACAACCCTCAGCATTTGTACAGAGCCTTTCATTTCTCATCAAGGCAAATGGAGGAAAACAACCTCCACTGCTTGCTAATAAAATCCTGGCACCCTCTGGCAGCGTGCTCTTTATTTCCCTGAGGCAGCTGGAATTGAGGTGAGGCCTTTTTTGTATTTTTCGGGGGACAGGGAGCCTAACAAGTGTGCAAAGCCCCAAGGAACATGAAGAAAAACCTGTTCTTACAAATCAGCACTGGTCCCATGTGAGCAGTGCAAGGCTTCAGGATCAGGAATTTGGTAGGAGCCTCACAAGAGAACAGGATGACTACAGACAGTCTTCCTAAATGAATGAGACATTAAGTTTCTCATGACGCTTTTCCAATAGCTACAAGATGGCCACAGACAGAATGATCAAAACAGCCAAAATTCAGAGAAAGCAGACCTTACCCTGCATAACTTTCTCACATGGAGCTTTTTGGGTGATGTTAACACAGTGCTTGTGTGAGGATGGCTGAGAGAATGTCCATCTTCACAACAAACAGGCAAACCCCAAGGAACACATGCTGCTGTCCCATTTCCCCATCCTGACTAGCAGGGCCAGAGATAAGGCTGGTTCCTTCAGAGCTTGCCCTGCTTTTCCCCTCATTTTCCCTTCTATTTCAAGGTGCTACCACCAACACTTACTAAGAATTCTACATTAAAAAGCTGCAGTAATTCTCACCCCACCCTCCTATACCCTCAGCTTTACCTTTTCCAAGCCTGGTCCCACAGCTGTGCTCGCAGGGTTGGTGTGCACATGTGCCACCAGTGGAATCAGCCACTGGCTTCACACCCAACATGCAACCTCAACATCCAGAATGCTCCGAGCTTCCAATCCACCAGAAAAAGGGCAGGAAAACAGGTTCAGCCTCCTGTGCACAATGAATAACTTTTGTGAGTCCAGCTGGATAACTTGATGTTCCAACCCCAGAACACCAAGGCCAGCACACACACAAGCCTTTTGCCAGGTCATGGGTAATGGGTATCTAACAGTGCTTTCAGCTGACCCCAAGGAAAGCAAGACTGAGTTGAGTTTCAGAACTTGGTATCACCACTAGGCTGGTCTTTAAAAATTGCTTACAATGCATTGCAAATCTGAGCCAGGGTTCATAAATTTAACATTAAACGCTTGCCATTAGTGCTATTTTGGGCTCAATTCTGGAAGCAGTAAGTGCTTTCTGCAAGTCAGTGGAAGGTGTTCACTGCGTCCCATGGCAGTACACCAAAACACTGGGGAGCTTCAAATGAGCTACATCAAAATTGTTGTTTTATTTAACAATCGAGTAAATCAATTAGAAGATCACCTAATGCATCACCTATTAGCTACATTAGGAAAACAAACAACAACAACAAAAACCAAATCCCAAGCAAAACTCTTTATTTGGTTGTTTTAATTCTGAAATTGATAAACTATGCAAAAAGTGCCATATAATCATTTACAGAATGTGAGAAATTCGCCAGGTGCTCAGATATTTAACAGGTTGATGCTAATTTAAAAGATTTCTATTATAAAATGCCAGTTATGAACAGCCTGCTCACATCTTTGCACTGCAAAGGGCTTTTATAGAGAACCTCTAACATACGCAGTCACTTTCCTATGTAAAAGAAAACTAACAAGAATTGCACCAGCTCTAGCTCCTGCTCCCCACAAAACATTTGCTGATTTTTACTTCTGTTTGACAAAATATGCCTGCACCCAACGCTCCAGAAGCACTTACTAACACGGCCAGAAGGTCAGTTACTGCTGTACAGTTACACTAGCTCTTACTGTGGCACTGGCTGCTGCTCGTTCTCTTTCTTTAGCAATTTCCATCTCTATTTTGGCTTTGATTTTATTCCAGTCAACTTCCAGCTGCAAGAATAGAAAATGAGTACACAGAGGTCAACTGACATTGTACAGAGAGGTCAGGTAGCCATTCACTAGCAGTAGACTCTGAAAACTTGGTTGATGGTGATTCTTCAAGTATGACAATTTATAGTAATACAATGAATCAAAAGCACACTTGAATTCTAGCAAATGGATCTTCCCACCTTTAAGTTAAAATAAAAATGTGCAAAATTTTTTAAAGTACATCATTTCATTGCATCTGACAAAAAGACCCCCACGTTAGAACAGGAAAATAACTTGGATCAGCTAACATCTAACAAATGTCATGAAATCTGCCCTGTAAGTCAGGACACAGCTCTTTATCAATAATATTTGCAGTATTGCTTTGGATTGGAGTGAAAGTTCACTAGGTCAGTTGATGGCTTGTTGCACTTGTTATTTGATATAACAGAAATCAGATTTCTGCTTGAAATTTGTCTTCTACATCTAGAAGCGTTTCAGCTTTATTTACATTTTTCTCCAGCTGCAGAGAATCGTCATCTTCTGGCTGTACTCTATTTCAGTGAAACTTCAGACAACAGATACAGCACAATACACACTGTGCAGCTGGGTGCAATAGTTGTCTTTGTTTCCAAAAATGCTTGACATGAAAACACGGATCATGGTGCACTTGAATGACTACAATAACATGTCCAAAACCTAGGCAGAAATGTAGCTGCAAAGTTCAGTTTCACTGCTAGAAAATGAAGGCTGTCAAAGGTAAGAATGGGGTAAAATATCTCAACTGCTGCCTAGGCAGTTTTCATAGTAGCTGTTATCCTGTTAACCAAGTTGTGAAATAAGAAGAAAGATTCTCTGCTGGGGGAAGATATAAAAGCAACACCCATATTCTTATGTGTAAAGGATAATCCCCCAATTCAGGATGCATTTGCTGGGTCCAGGTGCTTTGGATCTGATGACTGAAATCTTTATGGAGCTCTAAGAAAGAATGTGTTTGCTTTAACAGATGTCACACAGATGCTAAACATACCACAGAAAGGGCCAATTCTACCATCTAAGCCAGAGAGCTACTTGCCCATGAAGCCAACAACGCTTGCCAGTGACACCTAGAAACTGCCAAGATATGTATTCTCAGCATACATATTAGATTCATAGTGCCTTATATATAAAGATGTGAATATAACAACTAAGCACATTGTTTAGATTCCACATCTGATTGCTAGAGCAGTGGTCTCAGCTGCAGTACAGAAAAGAGTAAGAGCTCCCTATCTGAGGCTGACGCAGCTTTTGGTAGTGAGATGGAAAGTGAAAGATTGTTCTTTTCCCCAGGAGGGAACAGCAACATGATTTTTTTTCCTCTTTAATGTCATGATCGTGTTCTTCTCAATTGCTGTTTGAATCTGACAGGCTGCTTTAAGAATTTAGATATCACGGTATCCAACAGCATCAAACTGACTTCATTAGGTAGGTCCAGCAGACAAGAACACCAGAATGGAAAATGTATGGAACATCCACAGTGATATGGAATACAACTCAAGGAACTTCCTGCACTCAACACCCAATTTTCAAGACTGAGTGCAAGGTGAACCCCCTTAGGCTCTGCTCACACCTTGACCCTGACTGCTTAGGAACCCTTCCAGCTTTCCTGATGTTTTAAAGGTAGGACAGTATTATCCAAAAAGGCTCTTTCAGAGGCATCAGGGGATTAACATGATTATTTGCTCAGCGATGGACCTCAGTGTAGTAGAAGACATAATTTCAGCTCAGCAGCTGAAAATGCTGCGTAATAACAGTCCTTGAAATCCACTGTTATTTTTCTACATTTCCTAGGTAAAGTACTGAAGAATTGTACTGTTCAATAAGTGGATAGATACTGTGCAGACTTTTGTTCTTGTTTATGATATGAAACATCATCAGAAGCGCTAAAAGCTAATGACTTACATTAGAAATCAAGCTTTATTGAAAGTGTAATGGGCACTGTCCAATTAAAGGATCCGGGCAAGCAGCTAAGATGCATTTCCTGATCCATCAGCTACAGTGGATGAAAGGATGCATTGAAGTATGTGTCTCTTTTTACAGTTGCACCCTCAGAGTGCTTAGGAACACCAAGTGGAAGAGCATAAAGGGTGCTGGGTGAAACTGCTGTCTAAGGTGCATATGTAGTACCCCTCATAAGGGTTAGGCACAGAAAATACCCTGCTGAAATCTAAGGTGCATTTAGCTTATGAACAATAAGGTATCTCCTCAGTCTTTAAGACTGGTGCATTGAAATAACCTAATGATTACAAAGAGGCTTTCCAGAGATTTATTAAATAATATATCTAGCTATTTATCATATTTGACAGAACAGTTCATAGTTCACATTTAATACATATCTGGTTATCTTCATAACCTTTGTTATCGCTGCTATCCATAAAAGTATGTAGAAATGTTGTGAAGACATTTAAGAGGTTTGCATTCAGTCATTCTAAGCTCTAGCTCCCTGTTTATAGAAAACAACTGTGCCTTCATTTGCATAATCCGTGCCAGATACTAAATATATACATTCCATATCTGTGCCTTCAAATAAAACACATGCACAATGGTTACCAGCCAAGTAGCCACACAATGAGCTATGAATTTGCACTGTCAGACGTAAAATCTTAAGATTTGCATCCACATTTGAACTGAAGTAGGAAAACTGCAAAGCAATTCCACTGTAAAAATGGCTGCAAAGAACCATCTGACCCAAGGCTGTAGGAATAATGCCAAGGAATACTTACACCTTCTGCATACTGCAAGAATCTTTTGTTTGTTTCTTTTTTACCAAAGTCCTCTAGGAACTTCTGTCGATAAGCCAGGACGGTGTCAACATGTGTCTTGTGCTTTACTGCTAGCTCTAGTGCCCTGGAATAAAACAGAAAAGGGCTTGTCAGGCTATATAATGCTCTGGCATAACTACAATCACCAGGGTTTCACAAAACGATATGCTGAGCAGCGTTTCAGCTGCAGGCAAGGATTCCTGATCTACAGAGCCAAGCAGTTCCGTATCAGTATCAATCACAGGAGGTTAAAAGAAGCCAATTGATGTGACTGTCTACTTTATGATGCATGCTATGAAAAATATCCAACAGTTTATCTATGTTGACAGCCTCATCACATCACTGGAACTCAACAATGGGAGTCTTTATTGCAAGAAAATAGAAAAGAATGCGTAGAGTTCAGCACCCTCAATACAACAGGCAAAATTAATGATTTTTAAGAACACCATTATAGTCGTAAATTACTTCTGAATATTGTCATCTTGTGCACTTCAGTGCTTTGCAACCTGTGCTGTAAGTATATTGTGTAGGTGGGAAAGATAAGCCACTGGACTAGTATCACTGATCACCTTCATATCTGCTTTCATACGAATCATGTAAGAAATAATGATGGAAAAACGTGTTTTTTATGTCATACATATTAGGCAACACAATTCAAAACAGAGATACATGAGGAAAGAAAACTTTTTGCCCCCAGTGATATGAGCATAACAGCATGGCAATTAGCAGCAAATGGCCCCGATTCTTTCAGCAAGCGTGTATTCTTGTTTAAAGGAGAAACTCCTACTCTGTTTTCTCATTCCTAATTCACATTTCATCCACCTACACAGTGCTGGGAGTCCAAACAGCCACATCCCTATTTTTAGCCACAAGACATTGCAAAACAGCTTTAATTCTTCGGGGGTCACCAGCAGTGTGACGTATTGCTAAGGACCTTTCTGTGTCAACAATGGGAAAAAGGAAAACGTTATTTAAACGTGACTCTAAGCATGTTTCAGAGTTTTATCCCTGAATACTTTTATCTTCTAAATCTGATAGGAAAAAAAAAAAAAGTTGCTTTACTTCTTGGATTATTTAGCTCTGGACAAATACAGATGGAAAATTATTGAGGAAACTCTCTAATAAAACAGTTGAACTAAGAAATTTACAGGTTCTCCTAATAAGACTGCTTATGAACATACTGTATTTAAGGAAATACTACCTATCCCAATTGTAGAGATTAATGTTGACTTGAATAGCT